GACATTTGGATTGTACCAATCAGATGCACTCATGAAAGACATGAATTTGCAAATGAGGTGATAAAGGGGAAGCAGCATCCAAGGCGCACATTTTATTGGTGAGGCTTGTACTAGGAGGGTGTAGCTCAGGCCGTTCAGCCAAGTCTTTCTGGTTTGACAGGCAGCCTCCTGATAGTGGCAGGAGTGGCAATAATCTTGGCAGCCCGGTTTGGCAGTGCCTGGCACATAAATGCTTAAGACCTGTGGGCTCTTATTATATAGTCCTTAGTATTTATCTCGAACAATACTGTAGGATGTCCATGTGCTGCGGAAACAGGACCTGAAAGATAACGGAGGGCTCAGCCTGACTTCTGAGGTGGTTCGGTCCTGAAGGAAATACAGATTCGTGGTTTAAAGTATATGGCATTGGTGCCCCTTCACCCTGTTATGTTCCTTGTTTACAACTACCCTCTATTCCCACGGTATAACATGCTAAAAATCTGTTTTTTTCAAATGCTTGGGAGAAAGCTAGCCTATTTTCAGTAAAGGTGAACAATCTTCCTCTAGAACCTCCCAGAAGCGTAAACATCTAATGAAAAATGACTATCAGAGTTAGAATGAACAGTCACATTTAGTTGCCATGACTTTAAGCAGGAGCTGTGTCTAAACCAGGAAGCCTAACAATGTTGCAACTTCCTCTACAAGGACCACTTTATTGTAACAAATAAGAATTTTTGATCAAAAAGTTTAAAATGCAACAGACACATACAGGAAGTGACTCTCTGTTCCTAATTCCCGAAATAATTTCTCTGTTCCCTGAACACATTTTTGGTGCCTCTTTCAGTACATTTTCCCATTTTTTTAAGCTTGTATTGTAGTTATTTATGTCCATGTCTGATCTGCCCAATATATGAAACCGTAAAAACATTGAGGGCAGGGACACCCGTGGACTCATCTTTGGATCTCTTAAAGTGCCTGTGGAGAATCGTTTCTTACACAAAGGAGGCAGCCAGTCTGTATTTAATGAAGGAGCTAGTGGATTCTTGCGTAGCCCTGAGTCGTGAGGACTAACACTTTTCAAAGTATGCAACTAAATATACTTTGAATAATTTCCCCGAGAGAAGAGAGAAGGAGAAAGAAAGCGAGTAGGAGTGCTTGGGGGGGAGAAGGTTGCATCACTGCTTCAGAGAAGTGTTTTCTCTGGCTCCCACTGGTGGTGGGAGTGGCTCAAAGAGGACACTTGAAGAGGGTGGGAGACGTGGCCTCTAATCACTCACAGGCTCTACGATTCTAGTCAAATACTGGAACTCTCTCCCCTCCCTCATAAAAGGGATTGATGAGTTAAAGAACCATAGTTCCTTCTCATCACATTGTCTTACAGTCACCATTCCAGAAGATTTAAGCTCTAATCTTATGATGACTTAAGATCTTAACCTTAAAATGGCTTAAAGTTTACATAGCCTCAGTGTGGTAATTCAGCATCCTCTCCCATGCTGACCTCTACCAGTAGCTGCTTCCTACGGCACTGTATTTAGGATTCCAAATCCCTATTTGGGCTCAGTGGAAGGACAGTGTTGACTTAATAGTGATACCTGGTATGAGGCAGGGAGGGGAGTAGTAGCAAATAAGCCAAGATATGTCCTCCCTGATCTAGTCTAATGCCTTCACTTCACAGGAAGAAATGAGAACAGAAGCTCCTGTCTTACGCCTACTACGTGCCAGGCCCTGTTCAAATTGCTTTCACATGGACACATTTATTTAATCCTTAGCCAGCCTTAAGGAGTTAGCATTATTTGATTCCCATTTTGCAGATGAGGCTTAGGGAAGCAAATTTTGACCAGAGTTTGCACTCTGGAAATCCCTGTCTTTAAGCACTTCCCTATACTAACTTCTATCTGGGGGCACTCACTATATGTTAGGCGAACAGTGGTCAGCCAGGTGCAATTTTGCCCTCCAGGAGACATCTGGCAATGTCCGGAGACTTTCTGGTTGTGGGAAGGAGAGGGTGTTCCTTGAGTCTAGCAGCTAGAGGCCAACTGCACAGAGCAGCGCCCAGAACAAAGGTGTATTGGGCCGAAATGTCAATAGTGCTGATTGAGAACTTAGGAGTTAGGCTATGTGAAAGTCACTTTCAGACTGATGATGAACTCTTCCTGTCGCTCAGCAAGTATAATTACTGTCTCCATTTTACAGACAAGGAAAAGCACTCTCAGAATAAGGAAGATCACAAGATAGGAACCCAGGTAGTCTGATTCTAGGGGCCTCTGGAGTTCCCCTTCCACAAAACTCCATTCTTATCAGCTTCCTTTACTGTCAAAACACATAACTCTTTAAACACATGCTAACATATTACAGGTTTCAGAAGCTAAGAACATACAGCCAGCACTGGAAAATTTCCACCATGGTGGGTGTTTCTTCATAGATAAAGAAGTATTTGGCCCTGGCTGGTGTGGCTCAGTGGATTGCCAGCTGGCCTGCCAACCAGAGTCGCTAGTCGGATTCCTAGTAGGGGCACAGGCCTGGGTTGCAGGCCAGGTCCCCAGCAGGGGGCACACGAGAGGCAACCACAGCTTGACATTTCCTTTCTCCCTTCCCCTCTCTCTAAAAATAAATAAATAATAAAATCTTTAAAAAATGCATTTCCTCTACAGTTCAAAGAAGTGGGTCTTTAGAAGCTCTTAGTATAGAGCCACTGATCTCACTGGAGTAGACATGCAGATCCTTGCTTTAAAATAAAACTCTGAGGAGAAAACTAATTTTAGGACATTAACAAGCTTTTATCCTAGAATAATTAGCTCTGCGTGGGATTCAGCTTTAATTTTTTTCTTTTGTTTTTAGGAGCTAGTGAGCCTGGGAGCTTATTGAGGAGTAAAAGAGGAAATGAAACTATTAAAACACAGTATGATTCCTTTTTTTTTCTAGAAGGTAAGGTACAGTCTGAATATGAATAACTTTCTCATTCTGTCCAATTGACTGCCTCAAGTACAAATAGAGAAAAAATGTATGTACCAAAAGTAGATTAGCTGGAAGAAATTGAAGAAGCCAAAATTGAATGCTCGTTTCAACAATAAACCCCTATGCAAATAACTTCCTTTTAGGACGTGAGGCTTGTCTCCTGCAAAGAAAACAACTCTAATATATAGGGTGAGGGTGGCAGTTAGAGAAAAGAAAAAGACATCAAAGAACTTGAGGGAAAAGGGAGAGGAAAAATCAAGAGAGGAATTACTGAAAAATGCAAGAAGTTTTGGGAAAACAACGTCTGAGCTGCTCGGGAAATCCAGGCTGGGTGTGGGCAAGGGGCCTCCTGGAATTCGGAATGAATGGTCGGGGCGCCTGCAGGACCTGTCCGTCCACCTGCCGTTCGTCGGGTGATGGGGGAAGGGGGATGATTTAAGAACCTCCGAGTCGTTCGATTTTACATCTTCTCGGTAAGGCTCTCCGTCTGCGGCCGCCGGCAGCCTTACAGTGGGTTCGCTGTGCAGCTGGTTGGGATCCTCCCTCCCTCCCTCGCTCGCTGCGTGCCAGATCCCAAAACAGTCCCCGACACCCCGCGACGGGGATGGTTCCAGAAGCGGAGAATCTAGCGCGATGAATGAAATGTGCAGAGTATGGCTCTGGCAAGAGACTCAGACACCTTGGTTTGGGGTCAGCTGGGAAACTGGAAATGCGTCGGCTGTTGGTGGCAGGTGGCACTGGAATTTAACATCCTGGAGCCCCTACTCTATGCCAGTGAGCATGGCGAGCGAGCCACACTCACTGTTCAGCTCGGGGAGGCAGTTAGATGGGTCTTCCGGGAGGTGAAATACCTTGCATTTGTCTTTCCCTCGGCCGGGAACGCTCTTCCCCGAGACCCGTCCTTTCAGGAATCTGCTTAAGAGCCACCCTCAGGGCACTTCGCGGGGCCCAAGCACACAAATCATCGCTTTTGAAAGCTCTGCTTAGCCATTACCTCAGTGCTCAGAGGTTATCAGCATTTTCTCGTTTGTTTACATTTGTACGTATTCTTTGTTTATGGTCTGTCTCCGCACTAAAATATGAGCTCCAGGAGAGCAGGAACCCGGTGCGCCGTCACCCCAGCTGCGCGCCCACAGGTGCTTCGGACGCACACGTGCAGCACCCGGCAGGTTTGCTGCACGCCCACAGCTGCCCCACCTGCCACGTGCGGCCCCCGACAGGTTTGCTGTTTCCAAACTGACCCCAGGAGATCAGTGGCTTGCATTCATCCTAGGACCCAAGGAGGCCTAGGAGTGAGGGGGCAGTCGAGTTGGGTGGACTTTGTCGTCTTTTAGGGAGCTCCTGTATTTTAATTCAACTCTGAAGCTTTCTCTTCCTCCCCCCCACCCCTTACACGCGAACTGCGTAGACCAAAACGATCACACTCCCTTCAGGTTTCCTCCTGGGCCCCCGGTACGAATCTGCTTTACAGCCTCTGGGCGCCAGGGTCACAGTCCAGGGCCGGGGGTTCCACGCCGAATCTGTCCTTCGTCATCCCGTGCCTGCAATCCTCCCTTCACCACCTATTCTTCTCTGGTCTCGATCCCTTTGCCTCGGCCTGACTTCCTCAGAAGATCCAGTCCTCTCTGCCCGTCCGACCACTGTGTTCCCTGGACGCTTCCCCTTCACCAGCCCTTCCCTCGCCGCCCTCACATTTCTCTTCCTTCCCTGGCCGGGAAAGGCCATTCGACAAATATTTACAGAGCACCTACAGCGCACAGATAGCTCGCTGGGCCGCTGGAAGCCCCTTCCCGGTCCCACCGCAGCTCCCATCTCCCTCCGCCCTCCCCTCCTGCCGGGAACCCCGGGTCCCAACTCCTCCGACTGCGTCACGGAATCCGCACGCTTTTCCAAGTGCAGCGGCCCACCTCCTTCCCGGGAGCTGACTCCTGGTTGGTGGGCGTGTGGGTCACTCTGCTGCCCCTCCAGTCTTCCCCGCCCTCCGCACGTGGCCCCGCCCCCGGGGCGGGCTCAGGCTCCTCCTCCTGGTTTATTCCCTCTTGCTAATCTCCGGGCGACGCGAGTGAAGTTCTGGGCAAAGTCCTGGGAACGGGTGGCGCTATCTCAGCGCCAGCGAGCCCGCTCGGCGAAGGGACCCCAGCGCAAAGCAGTCAGTGCGCGGCGCGGGCTCCGGCCCCAGTGTCGGCCAGCAAGTGGCCGTCCCCGCCCTAGTCTCCTGCAGCTGGTGAGGGAACTGACAGCTACACGTTGCGGGGGGACCGGAGAAATCGCGTTTGTCCTCTCCCGGGTCTGTGGACGAACCTCGGAGCCCGGCACCGGGGAAGTAGGCGGCGTTCCCGGTTGCAGAGCGCGCAGGTAAGCGCCGGGACTCCTGCCAGATTGGTGCTGGGGTGTGGTGGGGGCCCGGCGGCGGCGGCGCGGGCTGGGCAGGGCTGCGATTTCGGAGAGGGGACCACTAGTCTCTGCAGAACCCGAGTCAGCCTCCTGTCGCCGGAGAGGAACCGGCCGGACGGGCGGCCCCGAGCCGGGGAGATCGTCCTCGGTGCCGGCGCCAGCCTCTCTGGACGTAGGGCTCGAGTGCTGCCCACCCTAGAGCTCTTCCCTTAGAGGGGCGGTTTGGCTGGGATTGACGGCGAGAAGGCGCCGAGCTGGGCGGCCTGGGTCGCGCGGCGCCGGAGGATGCTTTGCATAGGGGCTGTCCTGGGGTGCGGGGAGGAGTGCCGCCGGGGCGGGAGGTACAGGAAACCCGTTTAATTGGGCTGAGCGCGAAGCTTTACCACATCCGTGGGATGGGGCGCGGCTGGGGGACCCGGGTGACGCTGGCCTTGCAGGCCCCCGGCTCGCCCGCTCCGCTTGCCAGGCCTGCTCCGCCTAACGGTGCCCCGCCTGGGGGCTGAGGGCACTTGTCCCTATGGGCTTCCTAGCGTCTTGGATATTGTCTTAGATCGTACAGATATTTCTTCTTAAACCTGGGCGCGCCGCCCCTCTTCGGTAATGAAACTTGCCAGCCACCTTTTTCTGCTCACTTGTACTCTCCCTCCTCTGTCTCACAAATTACTGGTTTCCTGGCTCCAGACTCTGAGCTGAGGGGACTTGAAGTTGTCGCTTTAGATGCGTCTGGGAACTGCATTGAGGTATATAAGGCCCCAGGTGTTGCACTGACCCTCAGGGTGTGAGTACTGGGACGGGGGCATTTAGAAGTATTTTAAGCTGCAGGTGCAAGAGAGATCTTTCCACAGTCAGGTAAAAGTGTCGATCTGACTTCTGATCAGCTACCCTCTACCCTCGAGCGTCATCATACAAGGTGAGGTCCCCCTTCTGGCCAAAGGAAGCCAGTCAGGCAGGCCTGGGCTGAAATGCACTCAAGTTAAAGCCCCTCCCCCAACTTGCTAGCTCACCACCCTGCTCCACCTTCCTCTTAGCGCTCAACTTTCTGACAGTATCTCCTCGGGCTCTTTACTATCTGCTTTACCCCAATAGAATGGAAGTTCCGGGAAAGCAGCCGATCTTGTCTGTCTTCTTCTTCACTATCTTCCATGTCAGCAACAGTGCCTGACACGCACAGAAGGTATGCAAGACAGGTTTACTGAACGAATGATGAAAACCTCTTTAAAATATGAGGAATGGTGGTTTTCACGTGTATCCTTCCTTTCTCTACTGGGAAGATTAAATACCAATAACTCCTATTGATTGAGCACCTACTAAGAACCAAATGTGTATTGGGAACTTTGTATAGATTACCTAATTAAACATTACAGTGGTCTTGTTAGCTAGATATTTTTTACCAAGGTGGGAAATTGAGGCTCCACCAGCTTAACCCATTTTCTAAAGATTACGGTGGCAGAGCTAGAATTCCAGCTCATTTTCTCTTCTGTTGTTCTGGACCTCTTCCAAGAAACTGAAGTGTGTTTTCCCCCATTACAGCCCATAGGTATTTAGCTTTATTTGTAACAAAAGCTATTGCTTAGCCAAAAGAAGATTTGTTGTCTTCTCATTCAGATATAGTTTCAATAATAGTTAATAGTTATAGGCCAGATACTACTAGGCTGCCGTAAGCCCATATTATCCTGTTGAATCTTCACCAGTGTTGTGAGATCATCTCCATTTTACAGATGAAGAAACTGCAGCCTAGCTTCGGGGATTAGCAGGGTTGACAGTAAATCGTTGAGCTAGATTTTGTTAATAGTCCTTCTGACTCTAAATATTTAGTTCCTTCCACTGCATAGAAATGTGTCCTGCTCCCACTACTTAATTAAAGGTTACTTCGTTATTGTAGAGTCCAGCTGATACAACTTATTAAAACCAGCTGAATTTGGGCTCCAAACTTTCTGCTGCCAATATCAAGTTTCTGTGGTACTGCTTTCTGAATTATTGAGACTGACTGCCATTGATTTTAGTGGTTGAGTTTATGGTTTGTGGGCCTGGTAGTTGAGGGACTGTAATATAGGAGGAAAGGTCATTCCCCTTTCACCTAAATTTAAATTTACCTTCACCTAAAGCTAAAGAGAAATCCTATGGGTTTTGCCCGCTTTGGTAAATGAACTCAGGACACAGTAATGCTTTATGCCTCTTAAGGAAAGTGCTGGAAACCCCCAGCTCGTCCCTCTGTTCCCATATGTAGAATGGAGAGTTAGAAACTACTACAAATGCCAGTGGCTCCTGCAGCAACCTTTCAGTAAAATAACTACATTTCAACTCTTTGTACTCTTGTAGTGAAACCGAGGGCAAGAAGTTACATGAGTGTTGTGGTTACTTCCTAAAGGGCGAGTAGCAAAAGAGGGGATGGGAAGGAATTAAAGATCCTTTTATTTTTCTACTTCCATTCTAGTTTTAGCGGGTAGTATCATGTTTTTCCTTCCATGAGGGTCTGGATAATCCAGTTTTGTTTTGTTTTTTATAACCTGTCCCCCAGCAGTACGATATCTCCCTAATTGTTAATTCCATTTTAGTACTCCAGGGATGGCGGGAGAGCGCTGCCACCTAGAATGTCCGCAGAAGTGACGGGAGTGGGGGCCATTCAGGAAGGTGGGAGCTGTTAGGTTGGAAACGCCGTCCATGCATAACTGAGAGCTGTTCACAGCTCCCTGTGAAGCAGTCCTGTATACCTCTTATTGACTCATCAGCTTTTTAGCCCTTTCCCCTAGAAACCTTCTCGACTTCTAAATCACTGCTGTTCAGGCCCTGTTTCTGCTCACCCCGACTCTTGCCTCTCTCCTGCTCACTGGTTTCACACCCATCCCCTCCCATTGCTCATGCGCCGCCGTCTCAGCTCAGGGTCTTGGGGACTTCTGCACGCTGTCCTAATATTGCTTACAGGTGGGTTTTGCGCCTTCAGTCTTTGCAGTCATTAAGTCCCATCATTATATGCGAAGCATTTGTGAGTGGCTTATAGCGTTAATGACCATAATAACAGCAGCAGCAGCTGCTGAACTTTTTATGCCAGGGACTGTCATAAGTGCTGTACATGAATTATTGCATTTACTCTTCAGAGCAACAACACCCGAGCTGGCGCTGTCATTGTACCCTGGTCTCCAGACAAGGCTAGGAAGAGTTAAGTTTGCAACAACTTCACAACAAATGCAAGGTGGAACTGAGACACAAACCCCAGGTGCTCTCTCTCTTCTTTGAAGTGTAGATGCTTTAGCCTAAAGGCGGGAGCTGGCAGCCTGGACTCCGAGTTGCCTTCGCCCCATCATTATCCCACCCTATGCACTGGCAGCCCAAACGTGATTCAGCAACAGGGTATTTTGCCTTTGCGCATATGCTCCTGTTGCTGGAAAGCTCATTCATTGTGTCTCCGTTTAAATACCAGTCTTTCAAGGCTGAACTTTCATAAGCTACTTTAGCCAGAATAATCTCTCTGAACTCAATCTCTCATGGCAATTAAAAAAAAAAAAAACAACGGGAGTCCCCAGTTCAGCTTCTGGCTACAGAGTGTGTTGGATTCTTTCTTTCCTTGAGCACTTTATTCCTTTCCTAGCCCGCTCCCTGCCCAACCCCCCATGAGAGTGCCTCCTGGCTTAGTTATTTATTCAAATGTATTGCCTTCCTTTCTAGATTGTAAATGCCTTGAAGGCAGGGCCAGTGTGGTTCCTCCTGTTTCTGTCCCTCACAATATTAAGCCTGGTAGTCTATCCACAATAGGTGCTGAATTAAAGAAGAGACTATAAAACAATTATATTAGGTTATATTCTATTAGAATATTCTGTGAAAAAATAACTAGAATGTGGCATTTTGTTTCCTACTTTTTGACCCACAATTCTGTAGTCCTTTCATCAATTTATGATGAAGCAATAAAAATCCTAGTTTGTTAAGGTCATGGGAAACAACCTAAATGGTTGTTTTCACCTTGGCGATATTGCAAGGAGATCTCAAACTCCTAAACAAAGCAAACATTTGTAGAGTAAATATCTTGCATCTTATGTGCACTATTTTTTCATACATATGGTAATGTTATTACAAATATTAAAACTTATAAAATTTAAACTAAATTTTTATCAATAGTTTATTGATCAGTGAATAGTTTACATTTTATACCTGATTTACCGGATCCTCTATGAATAAGCTCCTCTCGGCTGAGCACCGCTCAGGGCTCAGCGTGTGAACTAAGGTCAGCACCCTGCCCTTCTGCCCGGGGCCATGCAGAAGGTGCTCAGCCCTCCCAGGTTTTGCATAATCTTTTGTCCTGAGAACCTTTTCTTCCGCCCCAATATTCACCTGGCTAATTCCCACTCATTCATCACAATTCAACGTGGATGTCACCTGTGGGAAGCCCGCCTCTGCCACCTCCAAGCTGAAGTTGGAGAACACTTGTGGCATCCTGTGCCCACCCATTTTAAAGGGAGCGGTTATCATGTATTTGCAATTGTTGGTCACTGGACTGAATCTTTCCTGAAAACACCGACTCTCACCTGGCTTACATTAGAATCACTTAGGGATCTTTTCTTAAAAATCCTCACTCGAAGATGTGCTTATTGATTTCAGAGGGGGCAGGGAGAAAGGAAGAGAGAGAGAAATCAAATCATTGCTTCCTGTCTGTGCCCCGACCAGGGGACTGAACACACAACCTACGTTTGTACCCTGACTAGGAATTGAACCTGCAACCCTGTGGTGTACAGGATGACGCTCCAACCAACTGAGCAACCCGACTAGGGCTCACTTAGGGATCTTTTAAAAATATTCCCTGACAAGGCCTCCCTCCCAGAGTTCCTGGGTCAAGTAAGTGGCTTGTTGTAAAGACGGTCGGTCACTGGAACTGTTTTTTTTTTTTAAAGGAGTTTTCTCAGTCTATATTGTGGTTGGAGAGTATTCTACTGTGTGAATGTAACATATTTTATCCAGCTATTTCTTTTTTC